TATAATAAACTAATATTATATAAATTACTAATTATATCTATTTTATAAACTATCCCTTTTAATACTAATATTTAATATATAATATACAGTAAATAATACTATTTAGATTAAAATGATATATATGATATTATTTATACCTTGTATTTAATGATATATCAATCGTTAGCTTGTTATTATAATATCATATATTACTAACCATATTATGCCTTTATAAATATCATATTTATTTATCTAGATATATAGGTTTATCTAAATATAATATATATAAATAATATCCACTAATAATACTAATATATTAATATTATAAACATGTATTAGTGATATCCCTTTATCTATTTATATCCCCTTTAATGGTATTTATCTTATAATATATATAAGGATATGGATATCTGTATATAATATTAATAAAAATAGAGAATATAATCACTAATAGGTAATCGTAGGTTTTAATAGTAATAATACACTAAAGATATCTCTATAGATATAAACTATTTAACCATATCGTGTATTATTATTTCATTTAATATAATATAATTACCTAAGAATATAATATGATAAACGTTAACCGTTAATAATATATCTATCCTAATGGATAGGCAGGGGTATAGTTAAATATAATATATGGTTATTTATTACTAATATTATAACATGATATATATGGAGATAAATATGATAATTAATATACTAGTATTTTATGCCTAATACCATATTTTAATAATATATTTAATCATATAATAACCGATCCCTATTAATACGTATTAGTATATTTTATATCAATTTATCATATATTATAATAATGTATTTATATTCATGTAAATTATACGATTACCTATTAAATATCTATACTAATATAAATAATACCACATAATATGTTATTTAATGATATAAATACAGGAGATAGAGATATGAATATAATATATCTGGTACGATCACCTATATCCTTATTATTAATATCTATATGATATTATAAATATAATGGATAGCGTTATATAATTTATAAATTATTAATGTTGGTAGGTCACCTTCACCCTTATATAATATTAATAACGATATAGAGATTAAATAACGATATCATTATGATGCATCCTATCAATATAACATGTATTAATAATAATTATATCTTAAATAATAGGTTATCACTAACCAGTTAAATATATTGTTAATTTCATTATAATAATCTTATATATTTATTTAATAATGTATACTAATAATAATATCTCTATATCTTAATATACAATATGATATCTACCGTACCCTTATTAATATATTACAGTATTATAAAATATAATATCCTAGATAACCATATACATATGCATATGGTGATACTTGTATTTCGATATAGGGATCAAGCTTCAATCTAAGAATATAAGTAGCTTAGGTTTGAAAGTGGTTATCAGAAGGACTCGAAAGGGCTGTTTTAGGTGACTTTTGGGTAGCAGCAAAACACCGGTATTGCAAATTCCAGCCCGCAAAAGGCTCAACTAAGTGCAGTGTGAGGTGATTCCATCGGGACTGTTGTTGACTAGGATGTAGGTCCATCAAGATGATGCTGAGGGCGATAAGAAGCGAATCCCATGCCCGATCGATCCAAATCATACAGTGTGAGAAATGCACGACTTAGGTGATAGTGAAAGATATAGAGTAGGTACGAGCGGAACCTCGAGAAGCATATCGCTGTGTGCAGTAAAACGAAGGATAACGACTTCATTAAAAGACAACCACTTTACGATGAGGGATGTAATGATAACAGAATAATAACGGCATGCGGTGAGGATTACTATCTAGATAATATACCCGAGGGAAAGAGGCCAGACCCTACACTAGATGGTGTTTCTATTACCAATGGTGATAATGAGGATGAGGACGCTGTAGTAGAGGAATGGTTGAAAAAGCTAAGCACTGCAGTATGAATAGTACAGCGACTTGATGATCTCCAATACTCTTAGTAGGTGAGAAAGTTATCAGATGAGCTCAGGAAGGATAGCACTACTGAGAGAATCGATATTGAAGGTAAAAGAGAGTTACTTACTCCTGCGGTCAAAGTTGATGTCCAGGTGAGGCCATCAGTTGTGAAGATGATCCGTCGAATGTGACCACTCGAGTGAGTGAGAGTATAGTGTCCAATGCTGTAGCAGATAAGCACGACATACAGAACGGCAGATTGTTGAGGATTATGGAGAAAGAGGGCATGTTGAGTAGTTGTGATGATGGTGTAATATAGTGCTCTTCCCTGTGGTGTGTATTCTGTCTGTAGATACCGCTCTTCATTGAGTATGGTTGTGGTAA